AACTCGACCCTCCAGATGTTTAGGGACTACAATTCCCATCATCCCTGACCACTGGTCTTGTTAGCTAGGGATGATGGGAGTTGTAGTCCCAAAACATCTGGAGGGCCGAGTTTGCCTATGCCTGCATTAGTGTGCCAGATGCAGTGTGTAGGTGTCTTGTGTGAACGCTCCCTGCACACCTCTTGGGGCTGAAAAGGGATTAGTTTAACCTCTGGCTGCAGTAAAACTGAATTATTGTGTCGTGAAATGATACATGCCTAAAAAGTGTGTCACCAACATAAAAAGTTTGGAAAACTCTGGTGTAGCGTTCTCGTTGCTTTGCCTCAAAAAAGATATTGCAAAGCTAGAGAAGGTTCTGAAAAGGTCAAGAAAAATTCCCAAAGGGGTAGGGAAACTCCGCGAGGAGGAAAATTGCAACGTTTGGGACTTTGTAGGTTAGAGAACAGGTGAGTTAAGAGGTGATACAATATAGAAGTTTGTGAAATTATGCATGGGATGCAGAAAGCGGCCAGAAAAGTTTCTCTCTCTTTTGTAACACTAGAAACTCACGGATATGCAACAAAGCTGAATGACTGAGCATTCAGAACAGACAAAAAAATGTCCTTCTTCACACAGCACACATTTAAACTATGGGATTTGCTCTGACAAGAGGCACTGCTGCTGCACTCAAGTCCTGCTTGTAGATTTTCCATGGGATTCTGGTCGGCCAATGTGAGAGCAGGATACTGGACTTGATGGGCCGATGGCCCCATACATCAGTACTGTTCTTCTGTTGGATACCTTTTGTTATCAATAATGTATAACTTTACTTACATGTTTTTATAGCATTTCCTCCTCTGTTTTCAGTATACAAATAACCAGTAACGTTCAAATGAATTTGTTTGGTTAAATTAAAATGCCTTTTATGTATTTAAACAAATGTATGCGGCTAAGAAGCTAACATCATTATTAAGCATGTTCTTCTGTGTATGTCTTTATCTAGAAATCCGATATTTTAATTTAGAGTCTTATTTTGAAGGAAGGTGGTTTTGGATACTGCAACTTAATTATGCGTTATGATTTACAGCGCAAATTCGAGGAGAATGTATAGATCTGAAATTTATGGGCACAATCCAGCAAACATTAAATTGTTTAAAAAATATCAGTAGAAGAATTAAGCATATGCTTAGCTCTCTCCAAATGAAATTAGTAAAACTCAAAAGTGTATAATTCTGTCTACATTTGTTTGTTGTTGTTTAGTCGTGTCCGACTCTTTGTGACCCCATGGACCAGAGCACGCCAGGCACTCCTGTCTTCTACTGCCTCCCGCATTTTGGTCAAACTCCTGTTAGTAGCTTTGAGAACACTGTCCAACCATCTCGTCCCCTTCTCCTTGTGCCCTCAATCTTTCCCAACATCAGGGTCTTTCCCAGGGAGTCTTCTCTTCTCAGGAGGTGGCCAAAGTATCTGCTCCAACTACTGCACAATTGAGCTCATTTCACATGCTAGCAAGGTTATGCTTAAAAGTCTACAAGGCAGGCTTAAGAAGTATGTGGACTGAGAACTCCCAGAAGTGCAAATGGATTTCGAAGGGGCAGAGGAACCAGAGGCCAAATTGCAAACATGCGCTGGATTATGGAGAAAGCTAGAGAGTTCCAGAAAAACATCGACTTCTGTCTACTTAGTGCCACATATATTTGACCTTAATTTAAGTTTCTGCTTAACATTGTCATTGTTGAGTATATTGAATTGTATGGTAGCACCTTATGCTGCAGTTTCTGCCCTGTCTTAAGTGGGATAAAATATATCAAATAAACAGAGATTTCCACCCCCCTTGAAATAATCTTCAAAATTTATAGAAAGATTGAAAGAAAAATGTTGTTTCAGTAATATTCTCTTCTTTTTATATAGGTTTAAGGACTACAAAAATATCCCTGTAGGATTTTTAAAAGCACAACCTGGCTGTTGCAAGGAACAGTTTGATCACTAACACACAAAACAGGATTCACCTGAAATTAAGCAATCAAAGCAATTGAGCTTGATCTCAATCAACCAAACCCTTAACCTTTCTTATTTCAATGGCACTACTCCAATTAGCGCTCCATCACCATTTCCATTACAGACACCCACTCCTATGGGTTTTATTGTCTTGGTGATTTCCATTCTCAACAGGATGAAAGTGGGCCTGTAAGTTTCCAGCCAAAATGCAAATTACTGTATAGTACATATGCCTGTTTTGTTCATTTCCTACCAAAAAGGAGAAGGGCCAATGTTCTATATGAAATCATGATGGAAAATAGTACTGACAGGAGTACAGGTAAGCAGGAAAAACATGTGTCTGTGGTAGCCAACCAGCCAGTATATGTGGTATACTGAGTAACTTCTCCCAGTTAATAGCTTCAGTACCTGCTCTCTTATATAAAGCAAGTCAACATGGCAAATTCTCCTGCACACAAGTTTGTTGCCATAGTGCAAAATTTCTATGCTAGCTTTGTATTTCCTATCCTAAAGTTATTTTGCGGCTGGTGGTGTATGCCTAGGTCCCGCTTTGGAAGTGACTGCAGCTTTCTCTTCCTTCAGTCTTCCTTCTCCTGTATATTGCTCTGCGGACCTTCGCTCAATATGGAAGGGGAAACTACCATAGTTGTACAAAATTAATTAATAAATAAAAACACTGAAATGATCCCATTATCGGAAAAGGCAATGTATGATAGAAAATGTTGAAACTTTTGTGACTTATGGACCAATAAAGTAATTTCCACCCACTCGGAATGACTGCAAAAGCTATATTTTCACTTTACAATTACAGCTAAATTTGAATATTTCCATAGATGAAGCTGTTGTTATCAACAGTTAACATTGCATAATAGTCAGTTGTAACTCCCGATATCCTGATGAACTGTTTAATAATTATTACAGTGGTACCTTGGTTTAAGAACAGCCCTGTTTATGAACTATTCGGTTTAAGAACTCTGCAAAACTGGAAGTAGTGTCCCGATTTGCGAACTTTACCTTGGTCTAAGAACAGAATCTGAATGGTGGAAGGGCACTGGTGGTGGAAGGCCTCATTAGGGAAAGTGTGCCTCGGTCTAAGAACGGTTTCAGTTTAAGAACGGACTTCCGGACAAATTAAGTTCATAACCAGAGGTACCATTGTATTCAGATTATTCAAGAATAATTTAAAAACTGTAAATAAAATAACTGTCCTGCATGTAAACACATACAGTGGTGCCTCGCAAGACGAAAATAATCCGTTCCGCGAGTCTCTTCGTCTAGCGGTTTTTTTTCAGGTCTTGCGACAAGCAACCCTATTATGCGATTAGCGCTATTAGCGTTTTAGCGGGCTATTAAAGGCTTAGCGGCTTAGTGCTAAAGCTATTAGCGGCTTAGCGGCTTAGAAAAAGGGGGGAGCGGGGGAGAATATGGCAAGACTCGCAAGACATTTTCGTCGTTGCGAAGCAACTCAAAAATGGAAAACCTTTCGTTACCGGGTTTCGTCTTGCGAGGCATTCGTCTTGCGGGGCCCACTGTAATGAATACTGAGAGACCAAAGACTAACAGTTACTGTATTTATATATGGACATTCACTCCTAAGTCACGCTGATGCTTGTTTCTATGGCAACTTAACTATTTGAATTTCTGAGAGAAAGTGAATATAAAACAGCAGATGAACATCCCGCAGATAACATAGATTCATCTCAAATACTGGCAGACATTACTGCCTGTCTTAATTGTAATTTGCCCCATATAAGGATAGAGGGAACTGCCTCATTTCGAGTCAGAAACAATGAAGGGCAGCTAATGCACTGAATTGTTGTTGTTTTTTAACTTTTTTGGTAGTAAGTCTCATTTAATCAATGCAAATGTTCAGATGTGAAACATAAGTTAGTGTACTTGAGAGTTGAGATGAGCCATAGGCTTGCCTCTTCCCTTCTCCTTTTCCTGCACAGCCAGGTGGAGCTGTTCAGAAGCTTCTCTTCATTTTTGATGAACCATGGTTTCAAGGTTTGCAAGTTTCAAACAGACCATAATTAATAACCCTAGTTTTTCAACTCAGACAAAAAGGCACATTGGGGTGAAGCAAAAACTCTGAACGCTCAGCTACAAGGGAGGAGGAAGAGGGCTGATCATAAAACCTCATGGCATCCAAAAGTGGCCAATGAGTCTGAACCACATAAGCATTTTTTATACTAGTTACACCAGGGGTTGGCAACGTTTTTTGAGGCCAGTCCAGTCCACTCCCCGGCAGACCTCTCAGTGGGCCGGACTGTGCACACCCGGACGTGCACTCAAGCTATTTCAGGTGCACTTCCGGGATTGAGGAACGCCCATGTGCATGTGGACACGCTATTTCTGGCACTCTTCCGACCCGGAAGTCGGTCCCCACGGTGAGAAAAAAAAATGGTGCTGCAAAAAAAAGAGAGCACAGAATTCCAACGCCAATCCACAGAACGGCCGTGGGCCAGTTCCAGGAAGCTCATAGGCTGGAACCGGCCCATGGGCCTTAGGTTGCCAACCTCTGGGTTACACTGAAACACATTCCAGCTTGTACTGACACAGCTACACAAAGCATACCCAAAATCTGCTATAACCACCAGCCGCAAAATAACTTTAGGATAGGAAATACAAAGCTAGCAAAGAAGTTTGAAATATACTATTTGTTAAATACAACATAAATCTGAGGCTGCAATTCATTTGTGAGAAAAATGCCGTGAGAAAAATGCTGCAATCCTAAATACATTTTTTTTCTAGGTAGAAAGTTCCATTGAGCACAGTACTTCTGAGTAAACATGCATAGGATTTCACTCTCCAAGAACTATGATTTAGCCACAGCTCCCAGAATAATCCACTACTTTTGTTTACAGTGCTGATACTTCTCACTGGGTTCCAACAGGATTCTGAAGCACTTCACAGTGCCATGTGACACATTCACAGGAAAACAGGCAGTAAGGCAGGATACTGAACCCATGCATTTGCTTCACTCCACATGGAAATCAAGCGCAAACATGTAATTTATTTACCTTTTAAGTGGCTTCGGCCAAGCAATCTTCAGCTACAGCCAACCAAAAAAGGTCAATCTTCTTACCCTGGAAACAAAATGGATACAACAGCATGACTGACCAGGTCTAGCGACAATATGAGAGATATTTTCACAGAGATATTATCAAGGGCAACTGTAAATAAAACAACAAATGAATCCAATTGCATTTAATGGTGAATGACTTTCAGAGCAAGGTAATAAAAACAATCAAGTCACAGGACAGTTAGTTATCAGTAGCGGCCATTGTGAAGCTCAGTTCAAACAAACAAAACATAATCTTTGGGGGCAAAGAAAAACTCTACAGATGAAACTGACTTTGTTCTCTCTAGCACAAACTTTCGCAATCTTGATGTTTATCCATTTATTCTCACTTTAAATAATATATTACTCAGAAGCCTTTGTTCTCAGAGATCGGGTAGGTTTCAGTGCAACATATACATGTGGCTATGTATTGATTTAATTCTTTTAAGGCTTACTTTTGTTACCACAGTCCTTATTGCTCTTGTTGTTAACCCCAAAAGATATACTTCTAGATAAGCTGCCTTGAGTATATCAACAGAACTGATTTCGTCATTCAGACATTTCCCCTACAAAATAAATACACATCACTGTTTTTAGGGAATTCCGTTGTAAGTCATGCAGAACACACCAAGTATACCAAGGATTACTTGGTGCCATTAAAAAGTGGAAAAGTACACAGTTATGTGATCTAAAGGGAGGGTGTGCTTTTTTATCACGTAAACATCATAGTATTCTCTTTCATGCAAAACGGTATGTAATCCTTTAAGAAACAAAACTTATCTTCCATTTTCTGGTCATATAATCAGTGTATAGAAGAAGTGGGGAAAATTTAATTTGCATCAAGTTAATAGATCAAACTACGAATAACACTTACATTTAATTCAACATCACATTACTAAACACGTTGGTAAGTAGCTTATGTGCTAATAGCAAATTGTTCCAAATTTAACTAAGCACTGATCATTTGAAGAACAGCACAGTCATTTGTGGACAACCCGTGAAGCTTTTTTCCCAGGTACAATCCACTGAATGTTACAGGTGCTTAATGTCTCCTGAAATCAATGAGAATTGGGTGCTTTCTGTGTATTTCAACGGATTATAGAAAATCTTAATACAAACCAATCCACATGTCTGAAAAGCAAGTGCTACATTACTCCTGGAACTATACTCTTCAGCTTTAGAAGGCTAGTTTGTTGTGAAGTATTCTGAAACAACCTTCTCCCTAACATTGCAGCCTTTTTTGTAAATTGGCCTTTGGACATTAAGGGTCATTTAAACAAGTAATCTGTCACCTGTATTAGAAAATTATAAACTCTAAATTGTTCCTTTTTTTGTAACAGGCTGATCAGTTATTTTTTCAATCTTCCAAGTAATCAAATCTTCCTATGCATTTTTGATCTATTAACTTTTTATTCATCAATTAGTGCCAACTTTGGTTGTTTGTATTGTTGTATGTTGTATGTTATGCTTATTATATGTTATGTTATGTTCATGTTTAATAAAGGTGGATTTCTGTATTGGGGGTGGGGGGTTATGTTATGTTGTAAATAAAATTTCCAATAAAAATTATTTTTTAAAAAATTAGTGCCAACTTTAACAATTATGCAGCTGTGTTAGAAACATCAACTAAGAAACTTGGAGAATTAAAGGCAATAACATGGAATATTCCACCACCACCCCTCTTCTCTACAACAGCTCTACAACAGGCACTGAGGCAATGCATTAGAAAAAAAGTGTTTTCCTTCCTATATACGTACACTGTTTAAATTTAGGCTTAAGCTTCCTAAATAACACTTCAACAGCACATGCATACTGGGGCCTTGCATATATTTTGACATCTCATGCAATATATGAATTTGCTGACGCATCTAATAAATTTGATTTTTGCATTAAAATCTCAAATCTCAAATTTGGACACACAAAATGCATTTTACTACTCCACCAATGACCCACACTGCATGGTTCTGCTGCTGAAAAAGTCTCCACCCTCCGTTCTATAGCAGCTTTCAGATTCCTATGAACTTAACAGTTTCACTCCCTCTTTTATGTTAGGTAAAGAGAAACGTGCTGCGCAGGTTCTAGTCTTTTCATTCCATCAGGTAAAAGTATTCCTCCTTACAGACAAACAGCAACACAGAAGTCTGGGCATCTTTTCCAGGGAAGGATGGGAGACTATTATATTACCTTACAAGAAAGTGACACTCTTGGCCATGGTCATGTGAAAATATTTCTGAGGTATCCTTTAACACCCTTTAAATATTGAAACAATAAAAACAATATTTGCTGTTGTACCTTTGAAGCTCTGACAAAAGCTTTGTTTTAGCACTTACCACAGTGTGCAATAAGAGTTAATAATCAAATCTGTCCCAACCCCCACAAATGTTAAACAAAAAGATAAAAGAAATGCAAATAGCTATTGTCATGGAAAGTTAAAGTACCTGTCTGTATTTTTAAGTGAAAACTATTATCTCTATCAATCAAAATTTAAGAATACAATAGCGCTAATCACATAAGGTGCTTTGACTGAGGTGCTTTTTCCTCATAAAGAAAGACTATAAAAGTAATATACTAACAATTAGATAAGCTATTTGCAATGTTGCTACGAAGCGGGGGGGGGGGGGCTTTAAGCAGTCTTATTGTTAATAAAATGCTTCTGAATGTGTGTGTTGATTTGCACCCAAGAAGACTAAAAAATCCCTACACATTTTAATAAGATTGGTGAAATGTTATTCAGATCCTCACACTTGCCAACATGTGGTAGAATAGCACACTCTTCTGTTTAAGAGGAGTTACTCAAATGAAGGAAATAGTTAATTGGTAACCCAAATTCTTACTTCTAGCCTCGATGTACAATAATCATATTTTCAACAAACATGAGGGTTTTATTTGTCTTTCTCTTTAAAAAGCAAAAAAAAACCCAAAAGCCCCTCTCATTTGACTTTCAAATAGAAGCCAGCATTCTCTTATAGGCTGCACGAATCTCATACAGAGTACATACATAAATACAGTTTCAAGCATGGGTTTTCATTTTTTAAAGCAGATTCAATCAGGAACTGAGCTGGTGCAGTTGATAAGAGAACACACAGCAGCAATTATGTCTAGATTAAAAGTAACAGCAAGTGATATTTAAAATGCCTTTAGTAGACAGTTAAAACTAGGATGCCATTATGCTAACTCTGCCCCTCACAGAGAAGCAATAGGACTGTCAGCTTCCCTCATCCCACTTTCCCGCTGCATTATCAGGTTTCCTACTCTATAGTCCTATTACTTTCTGCATCATAGCTAACATCTCTAGTGTGCTATTAATATCAATGAAGAGACGATTCAATTTCCACAAAAGGGAAAAAAAACCTGATTCCTAGTATAAAACACACATTCTGGTGAGGACTCTAAATGAGGACAAAACAGAAACAACTGTCTTGTTGCTTTTTACAAAAACAAAACTATTGTGCATGCCATTTGAAAGCTTTTAGTAAACAATGAAACTATCCCCCCCCTACAGTGACAAACAAAAACGCCCGACAAAAAAGCAAGTCAAACACATCCCCTCTCCCTACTCTCAGAGAACAGTGTGCTGTTAAGGTTCAGGTACTTGCACAAGAAAAAGTAAACCCTAAAGAAACACCTGGATTCACAAACCTTAAAGGCTGCAACAAACTCCCTAAACTACCGGGACTCCTGCAAAGAGGTCTGAACAAGACAGAATTCTGAACATTATTTATAAAGAGGAACAATAAAGGATAATGATCTTTAATAATACACACTTACCCATTAATGAAGAGGAAGAAAAGGTCTGAGCTGTTGCAATAATTCCCAATCAAGTAAAGAAAAAGTTGAGAGTTCTGGAAAGACCATACGGTTTACTTCTAACTAGCCAGATTTTCTCTGCCTCAACATTGGCTGCAGTGTAAGGAAGGACTGAAGGTATGTGGTCTAAACACAACAAAAGCCACTGCCTTACTCTAGATTAAATATGCAGGAAGAGGCCCCTTTGCATAAACACAAACACTCGGCAAATGAGTAACTGGCTCAAATCAGACGCCTGCTGTGCATTCTACCTGTCCTGATCTCTCAGGAGCTGCACAGCCTGTTTAATAGGGATGGTGGCTCAAAAAGATCACATAGCTACACGCAAACCCCCCCCCATAAACAGCAGCAATAACAACTAATAAATAGGAACAATATTAAGAACTGAAGTGACATTTGCCGTTACAAAAGAAAACATTTCCTCACCCACACACCTTTCAAGGCAGAGAAAGACAAAGAGACGTACAAGCAGGAAAGAATCCAGTAGGTAGAACATACTTTCTTTAATTAAACCTCAAATTCATCAGAATTACAGGTTTTGACTGAGTCTCTAAGCATGTATACTTAAAAGTAAATTCCACTGACATTGATTAAACTAATTTCTAAGTGGAAATGTTAAAGGCTAAGCTGTTGGGTTTGGGGGGCCAGAAGGACTTTATAACTTACATCTTTGACGCATGTAAGAAAAAGAAAGGCAGGATTTGTTTCTTGTTGTTTCGAAATAGAAACAATTTTATTGCTCAAACTGTCATTTTTTTAAAAAAAAAGAATGTGCAGAATATTCTAGAATGCTGTTGCTTTAGAAACAATCCAATGTAAACAAATATACTTTCTATTAAGGTTGGAATGGGGAGAGGAAATTTGATATTTATGTCAGATTCCCCCCCCCCAATCAGATGACCCAAAACAGTTTGCAGAACAATCCTATGCATGCTTTCTTGAAAGGAAGTAGTCCTCCAAAAGTTGCTAAATTATTATTTATTAAATTTTATACACTTCTTGATTAACAAAACAAAACAGAAACCCTCAAAAGTTGACTACAACTTCCATCATCCTTGATCTTTAGCCATGCTAAGTATGGCTGCTGGGAGCTGGAGTGCAACAAATATCTGGAGGGTGACAGGTTCCCCCAGCCTTGTTTTACACGCCATCCCCTATATGAATTTCCAAAGCGTACACATTTCATCTGTCAAAGACAAAATTTGACCATTTGTATTA